ATAAAAAAAAACATTAGCATTAAAACGTAAATTATGACTATTAAAAATTGTGGTTCCAAAATTTTTTAAATATACAGCCACTCATGTGAAAGCTCCAATGTTTAGGAATAGGAAACACTTTATGAAATAAATTCCATATATATATATATAGATATATATATATATATATATATATATATATATAATATATAGATATATATATATATATATATATACCATTAAATGTTGCCACTCGAAAAAAGAAAACACCACTCATGAAAAAACTTTAGATACACACCAACACAATTTAAAACAAAAAGCCACTTTCACCACTAAAATATTTATTTTATCCATCATACCCTCACACCTTCCTTCATTTTAACTTCATCACATAATCTTCATCTTATAAATCACACCATATTCATAAATCATAACTATTAAAAAATCCAATTCCTAATCTAAAAAAAAAACAAAAATCAATCACTAAAACAAATACGTTGATGAAACAAAAATCAATCACATGCTATGATTTCTACCAAATACCTTTAGTGAATCATGCTTCCTTTGCATTGGATGTCAAACTACCATTTGTAAATGCATGGTTTCCAGAATTCATATTTATTAGCTACACCAACTGCATCTTTAACCCTATTGAATTACGATTGAATAAGGACAATGACAATGTTATTTATCATATAAAAAAAAGTTATTTTTGGAAGTCGTCTAATTTCCGTCCAGGAAAGTCTTTACACACAACATGGTCGGTTGAAATTCTCTCATATATCCTTTTTGTTTGGTAAGTTGCTAAAGACGAAATGCCTCCTTGCTATTCTTCACTTGTTTGACTCCACCAGTCGCACCCATTATAGCCACTATTGTTGTCTTTGCATTCATCCTCTAGTTACCTACAACCACTCTTGACAACGCCATACAACCATCATTGTCACATCCCACCCTCGACTTTACAACCGTACCCATTGTCCCTCATAACAGAATAAACTCATCTGATATCTTCATATCCAACAATAACCGACACTCTGAAACCTGTTTTTATAAACAATCAATTTAGAATTAAATTAGTTTATACTTTATTTTAGAACTAAATAAGGGCAATTTTTCAATTTACTATATATAAAAATCATTTGAAAAAAAATACAAACCAAACCAAGATACCAGATTGCAAATCTTGAATACCCCTGCTACTAACAAAAGATGAAACCCCCAGGTCTACAAAGAAAAAAATAAAGGTGATAAAATATCAAACACATGGAGCGCATATCTAAAGACTTGCCTTATATTCTGTACAGTAACACAAAAAGCTGATGAGTTCGGATTGCTCGAAACATAAAGGATTGCTTGATGGCAAGAAACAATATATCTGATGTGAAAAACAATACATATAAATGGAAGTCTTACTTTTTAACAGGGGCTTTCCATTGAAGATATTACCGTTGATGGAAAGGAGAGGACCGATGTATGGTTGAAGATAATACAATTGTGTTTTACTCCATAAACAAGTTTCTCGAAAATACATACCAACTATCAACTTTGTGAACTTTGTGCTGGTATAAAAGATCAATCGGGTAGCAAATAAATACATATGACACCAAAAGAATAACCATAACAAAGTTTTTGCATCTTTGTTCAACTAAATATCTGCATAACGATAATAAAAGATGAAGATTTGGGTTATGGGTTACCGGTTCATTCTCAAAACACAATGGCTACTATCAAATGACGTTTTCTCAGATGACATCAAAACTCTTTTTTTTTCTTGACCATCGACATCTGTCATGACACAAACACGATTCTCTATAAACCTGATATAACTAAAAAAAATTGAAAAAAGAACAAACAAAATTAGAACATTAACATGAATCAACCGGGTGACAGAAAAATGAAAGAAATTTGGAAGTCATAAAAACTAAAATCTTCATGGGGTTTTGAAAAAAATGGTCCAAAATTGAGGTTTAACTGTACTTTTAGGGTCAAGAGGGAGAAACTAAAGGTTATTACCTGAAATCCAAGTAAGGGGATCGCTTCCTAATATTAGGTTCATTCTTTTTCACTGCAACATCAAATAAACGATCAACGAAGGAAGATGAGTGCAAGCGGCTATATAAGGTGCGTTGAAGTAAAAATCACAGTTGATCAATCTGCACGATAGAGATGACCGGTAAATCCATTGAACCACTAGGTATAATTGAAGTTTTCTATTTGATAAGGATTTAAGTATTTAATTTTGAAGCGATTTCCAAAACAAAGAAGTCGAAATTGAAGGAAACAGACGCGTGATCTAGGGAATAAACCGATGAGTAGATATGGTTTGGGGGTGAAACGTATTGTTAACAGATTGTATTAATGGTTTTATTTTTGTTTAGTTTTTTATTAATTATTCAGTGATAATATCCAATACTTAATTTGATTCCTAATTTTTAGGAACGAAATAAAGTAAATATGAAGGATATAGGCGGGAAAAACAGTCAAAGGATTTTTGTTGTAATGACACGTGACATAGTTGGGGTTTAATAGAATGCTATGTGGCGTTTAAAAGAGGTATTTATTAAGTATGGAGATTCATTTACCAACCTTATCAACCAACATCTTTTTTTATATATGTGGTTTGGTCCATTTTACTGGATAAACATAAGGGCCTTATTTTATAGTGCCTTGGGCATGAAAAATTAATGGACCGGCCCTGACTTTATGGATACATTTAGTTACAAAAATCTTTTTTTCCATGCAATTTACCATTAACTTGCTTAATTTGTTAAATAAATATGATATGACCGTCTATCAAAATGACAACATTCTCAACTTACCATTAAGCTTGGGACAAGAATGAAGGTTCCATGAAAAATTGGAAGTAGTAGTAGTCTAGAAAAAGCGAGTTGAGTTGGATTGATTTTTGGGAAAATAATGTTTTGTTTGAGTTAGAAATATACACAACTTTTGTTGAACTTTATGGTTAAAGACAAGCTTGTAGCCTTTTTTATTTTTATTTTTTTAACACAGTAAATCATTAAGGACTTATAATAAAAGATTATATTGATATTTTTTGAACTACAAGTTCAATAGTAAATCATATAAAAATAAATATGTACAAAAAATAAAGTTTATTATTCTTATATGTTATTAGTCCTATAGATTGTTTTGTCAATTTTTGTAAAAATTATAGATCAAATAACAATAATAACCATTTTTAAATTTTTTCCCCATAAAATAGGTAAAAATCAGAAAATAACCGTAACAATCACAATTTCCGTAGGTCATCATCTACGAAAATCTAGGTGGCCAACGATTTTTTTTTGATATTTTCGCTAATCATCACATGTAAACATCTAGGTGGCATGCAATTTCTTTTATTTATTTATTTATTTTTTCTGCAGATCAACACCTACGAAAATCTAGGTGCATGCAGTGTTTTTGGATTTTTTTTGAGATTTTTTGCAGGTTATTCTTCTAATTAGAAGAACCCATATGATATGATGATTGTTATAAAGTTCGTTTGCGAAAGTTATAATTTTTTTTATAATTTTCACTGAGTATCCTAATTCGGAGCTAAAATGTATAACTTTCCGATATCCAAATTCGGAGTGTAATGGGCAAACCTTATTAAATAGAACACAATGAGAAAAAATTGAGCTAAAATAGAGTTTGTATATGAAAGTTAAATGTTAAAGTTATGTTTAAATTTTTTTTTATCTAATAGCCTACTTGGGAGCTCAAAAATATAACTTCCGGACATCCAAATGTAGATGTAAAATATTAATGTAAAACTTAATTACAAAGAACACAATGACAAAGAACCAACTTAAAAGAATTTCGTATATAAGTGTTAGGGGTGAGCATTTGGACCTCCGGACAGGACTGGAAACCAGACTTGGACCTGGTAAGTCTCAACAGGTCTGATCCAAAGTCCATTAATTTCTACAAAATCGGTTCGGTCCAAATGCTCACCCATACGTCCAAAAATTGGGAACTTGATGTGGACCTAGACCAATGTTTCAAAAACCGGTTTTTTAGTTGAACCGGAATGATGACCGGTTTCCGGTTCAACCGGTTCGACTGCTGAGTAAACCGGTTTTTATAATTTTCATTTTTTTTCGTATTTTCGTACACATACCTATATACACAAATCAAGAATATGATGTCCACAAGTTCAAACATTAAAATACACATGAAAACAAGTTGTAGATTATTTTAAATACATTAAAATAACTCATAACCATAAGTTTTATATCAATCCATGTGCATTAAAAAGCAAATAAAGTCCTAGATGAATATAAATGCATCAAAAAACTTCATAATATTTATCATATGCTTTTATTCATAAAAAATTTAATAAATATGAAAAAACTACCAAAGTTTATTATGCAAAAGGTTTCGATTCTATATGTTTTTATTCAATTTAACCGGTTTAACCTGTTTAATTGAACCGGTTCAACCGGATTTTTGTAAAAACCGGCCGGTTCAATCCGGTTCAGAAATAGACATAAAACCGGTAATAGTTGAACCGTTCACTTCACCGATTCTCGGTCCAACCGGTTCGACCGGCCGGTTCAAACCGGTTTTTAAAACATTGACCTAGACCTGCTAAGCCTCAACATGTCTAGTCCAAGGTTCACTAAATTCTGCAAAACCAATCTGGTCCAAGAACCGGTCCGATCCAAATATTCACCCTTAATAAAAGTTATGAAAGTTTGAAGTTATTTTATTTATTTATTTTGAGATTTTCGTAAAAAATCTCAAAACCAATCATGAATATTTATTTATTTTTTTTGAAATTTTAGCTATTTTATGAAATAAAACTTAGAAAATTTGGATAATAATAAAAAGACCCGCATACAAAATGACGAAAGGGTCCAGTCCCGCAACTAAACTCGCTATTTTCATAGGTGTTGCATTTGTAAACCAAACCCTAGAGACCACTGATCGCTACTGTATTCATCATCTTCTCATCATCGTCAAGCAATCATGGGTTCAGGTGAGGTTAAGCTTCATGATTTCTTAGTTACGGCTTCAATTTTAGTTAGTTAAATGTCCCATATGCAGAAACGCACAGATGCCGCGGTTGTACAAAGTGTTTCTAGTGTAAGCATGTATTTACAATTTTTTTTCTTCTTTCTCTCTCATTTAGATGCAGATATGGAGGATTATGGATTTGAGTACTCTGAGGAGGAACCTGAAGAGCAAGACGTGGACATTGAAAATCAATATTACAATTCTAAAGGTACTGAATCCCCTCAGTACTTACTGTACACATCGATTTGGATTCTCATCTCCATATTGATTGCTACTCGTATCCTTACCAGTAGTGGAACCGGAAAGAGGGCGTGATTGTGTAATTGACGAATAATTATAATGCTAATTTTAGGGCAGAAAGCTAGATTAGATAATCGCATTAATACTACGACCGCTGTGTAACTATGACTTCTCTTGTAACATCTTATATGGGTTATTGATTGGTGTGCCATTCTTTGTTTTTGACAGGTTTGGTGGAGACTGATCCAGAGGGTGCACTTACTGGTTTTGCTGAAGTAGTTCAGATGGAACCTGAGAAAGCAGAATGGTAAGTGTATTGGTATTAAGTAGCTAGATTGTGACATTAACAAAGAATCTAAGAAGCTAAAATTGTAGCAACTTTTATTGAATCCTCACTTATGAAGTCGATAATCATTCTTCTTTTATGTTTAACAGGGGATTCAAAGCACTAAAACAGACTGTGAAACTTTATTACCGTTTAGGGAGGTACAAGGAGATGACAGATGCATATAGGGAAATGTTAACCTACATTAAATCTGCAGTAACTCGAAATTACAGTGAAAAATGTATAAACAATATCATGGATTTTGTCTCTGGGTCTGCTAGTCAAAACTTTGGTCTTTTACAAGAGTTCTATCAAACCACTTTGAAAGCACTTGAAGAAGCTAAGAATGAGGTAGTTATTACTTACTTTTTTAGGATTACAATTAAGAAATTATTCAATTTTTTTGGTACTGTTTTGTAGAGATTATGGTTCAAGACAAATCTTAAGCTTTGCAAGATCTGGTTTGACATGGGTGAATATGGTAGAATGAATAAGGTATGGCACAAATCTATTTTTAACTATTATATTTTAATCTGTTGTTGACTAAAACATTCATTACATTTTTCAGATTTTGAAGGAGCTTCATAAATCTTGTCAAAGGGCAGATGGGACTGATGATCAAAAGAAAGGAACTCAGTTACTGGAAGTGTATGCCATTGAGATTCAAATGTACACAGAGACTAAGAACAACAAAAAACTCAAGGTAGAGAATCTGTAAATGCTAATGTTATGTTATAAACTTTTGATTACATGTAACAAAATATTCTGTATGTTTTTGTGACAGCAATTGTACCAAAAAGCCCTTACTATCAAATCTGCAATCCCACATCCAAGAATCATGGGAATAATACACGAATGTGGTGGCAAAATGCATATGGCAGAACGCCAATGGGCAGAAGCAGCTACTGACTTTTTTGAAGCTTTTAAAAACTATGATGAAGCCGGGAATCAAAGAAGAATCCAGTGTCTGAAGTATGTCTAATTTTGTCATTCTCCATTAAACCTAATTTTGATTTTTTTTTTAATGTTAATTGTCTCTAATCTTGCAATTACAGATACTTGGTGCTAGCAAACATGCTTATGCAATCTGAGGTCAACCCATTTGATGGTCAAGAAGCGAAACCGTATGTGACAAACTTGATTCTCTTTTTCTTTTTTAAATTACTGTTTTACCCTTTCTGATTGATAGCTTAATCACACCGCAGATACAAAAACGATCCAGAAATCTTGGCTATGACAAACTTAATTGCAGCATATCAACGTAATGAAATATTAGAATTTGAGAAAATCCTCAAGGTAAAAAGTAAAAGATTGAACATATTTATGTAATGCAGCATAGGTTATATATGTAGATAATAATTAAAAGAAGTTTTGTATGATTTATCTATGTGACAGAGCAACAGAAGAACAATCATGGATGATCCTTTTATCAGAAATTACATTGAAGATCTTCTGAAAAACATTAGAACCCAAGTGTTACTCAAGCTAATTAAGCCATACACCAGGATCAGGATCCCCTTCATATCCAAGGTATCATTTCAATTTTTTTATTTTTTATTTTATTTTGATATAACTATTATTATACATACATGTGTGTGTGTGTGTTTCAGGAGCTGAATGTGCCAGAAGCTGATGTGGAACAGCTTTTAGTGTCGCTGATATTGGACAACAAAGTGCAGGGTCACATTGATCAAGTTAACAGGCTGTTGGAGCGTGGTGACAGGTTAAATTTTATATCTATATCAATAGTTACTACTATTTGTGATTCCATTCCATTCCATTCTTGTGTATGACTCTGGAATTGGAATGGTGGCAGGTCAAAGGGAATGAAGAAATACACTGCTGTGGAGAAATGGAATACGCAGCTTAGGTCACTTTATCAAAGTGTTGGGAATAGAGTTGGTTGAGAATGAGGTTTGAAAAAAAAATATATATTGACTTGTGATGAGATTTTGTTTGTTTCCATCGCGGCATATTTTGTCCATCATGTCAAATTGGTAAAGTTTGTATCTAAAGGAAAACTCAAGTCGAGGATTAATGTGTTTTGATTATTGATTGCATTTGTGCGTTTGGTATTTGGGCGACAATTTTTTGGAAACCTTTTCAACTTTCATTATTCGTCAATCCTATGGAGGAGTAGGTGAGTTGGTAAATGATAATTCAATTTTACTCATGACCATATCCATTAAATATAAAGTTAATAGTTTCGCTCTATTTATTATTATTATTTTAAATTTTATTGTTATTGATCGATTGAAATTGGTTTTTCCTTTCCAAATAATTTTAGTGGTATCTGAAAACTCTAATCATATGTGTGTGTTTGGCATGGAGTTTTTAGCTCTTAAGAAATGTTTTAAAAAAGTAACTTTGTTTGGCATCAGGAGTTTTTACTTTTTATTATAAACAAAAAAAGTTTGAATCAAGAAACTATTTCAAGTAGTTTTTATGTGTGTTTAGTTTTTATTAATTTTACATATTTAAAAGCTAACCATTAATTTTGCAAAACACTTGTATAAATAGAAAGGAGGTGATATTTTCACATATCTTTTTAAAAAACAATGTGATTTGCCTGTTAGAACAATGCTCAAGATTTTTTCTATTCAATTAAAATATAGAGTACTGAAGTCGAAATCATTTTTGTTTTCAAAGTGGATGAATCAAAAATCTAAATGGAAGTATCATATTTATAAATAAAAGTATAATTTTCTACTTTGTCAAACACAATCAGAATTATTAAAAGACATTTGATTAGAGTTAGAAATAGTTATATAATTTTACATATGGCCTTAGATTGATTAAAAGACATTTGATTAGATTAAATCAGCGTCTTTTAACATCCTTTTTGTTTGCTTCTCAAAATGTAATCATTTTAATTTAAAAAAATATATTCAAAACCGATTCAAAAAGAAAATTTGATTATCTTCAAAATCCTCTTAATTTAAAAATCTAAGTTTCAAATAAATCAAGTTACAAACTCACTCATAGTTTGCTTTTTATACTAAAAAAAAAATCAAGATATTAATAATAATAATAATAATATTATTATTATCAAATATAAGTTTATAAAATCATATTTGAAATCAGATTCGAAGTTTATTAAATTAAAAAATAAAAAGCTCAAAACGAGAATCAGAATAAAAAAAAAACAACTATACACGGTTGAAAGAGTCCCAGGAACCCTATTATTTGTTTCATTTGTATTCCCTTCCCTGCTACTTTGGTCAAAAGCGAGTCCAATACCTATCGATCGACCCACCCACCCAACCACTCAGATTCATCATTGACCGACTCCGATACATCATCATAAATCAACGCAAACCAAACCCTCTTTCTCTAACCCTCCCTTGCAAAACTGGTAATCGGTTTCTTGTTCAAACCCTCGTCAATCGAAGTTACAAGGGGGAAGAACTTAGCACCATCATATCATGGCTTGGGGCACCTTAGTTGCTTTGGTAATCGTATTAGTAGCGGCGGCAGAGTTTACATCGACGGTTAGTGGAAATTCTGAAGGGGACGCGCTTTACGCCCTTCGCCGGAGCTTAAACGATCCCGATAAAGTACTTCAGAGCTGGGATCCTAATCTTGTTAGTCCCTGCACCTGGTTTCACATCACCTGCAATCAAGCCAACCACGTTACTCGTGTGTAAGCCCTTCTCCTTTACACCCAAAAATTCCCAAATCCAGTCGGCATCCCCTTATATGTTTTTCTGCTCCTACGGCATAAATTTTGTCTAGGCAACTTAAATTTCATCACCTATTGGTCCAACATAGTCCATTTTGGCGGTCTCTTGTTCTAAAGATAAAATTGGGAAAATGATATTATTTTGGTCAACTGGAAACTCCTAATTACGTTCAACTTAGAAAGTTAACTAATTTTGAAACCTATAACTTAAGAAGTTTGAGTCGACTTTAAATTAGACAAGCACACTGTTCCTACTTCCAAAATCAAGGATGGATTTTTTTTCTTGGAAGATGGAGTATTTTCTCGTAGTTCTCCTTTTTGTGATTTCTTGTTACCGTGGGGTTCATAAACGATATTGATGTTCCCAAGTCTAACAAGATTCTCACTTCATTCAAGTCTAGGTCTATTGGATTTTATAATCACCTGGACCATATGTAAAGTCAAAATTTTTGAAGCTCATCATTTGCATTTGAGCTTAGAGAGAGAGGGGGGGGGGGGGGGGGGGGGGGGAAGGAACTTGTAGATTGAGAAGGATCAGTTTTAAGTGTTCATAGTACTAATGAGGTTCGGCTTGAAGATTTAAAGATGATCATTTGAGTTGTCATGTTTCTTGAAAAAGTTTAAAGGTATATTGAGGTAGGTAAAGACTGATGTTGTTTAGTTTCTCAAATTAGACCTGAGTTCTTGTTCTTGGTCTCATGTGACTTAACCCGTTGTTCCCAAGTAGTGTTTTTAGGTTTTTATGTGTTTCTTTGGTCATTTGATGAGCTTGGCGCATTTTTTTTTTCTGTAAATAGAATCGCTTGTAATGTTCTGCTTGTGTTTAAGTAATTTTATGGAGAATCAAGTGAATTATGATGCAGGGATGGAAGGAAAAAAAATGCCTCTAGGGAGTTCTTAGTAATAAAAAGCAGCTTATACAACCTTTTCTGTTGTAATCCATCTGTTGGTTGTGTTTAACCCTCCCATTTTAATAAAGATGGCAACGATAAAAGAAAAAAAAAAAACTTTGGTACAAGTGTCAAATACCTAATATAAATAATATAGATACCAACAACACTTTCTTTTGTTCCCTAAGATTTACATATCTATATTAAGTTTGTAATAGGGAGTTGTCAGATTGATCTCAAAAATTTGAACAACTCTTTCTTCTATTGTAAAATCTATTCTTGACTTCATATGTACAATCAAATCCTTATTAAACTAATTATGAAACTATGATTCATTATGTTACAATTGTTTTTTTTACAGGGATCTTGGAAATTCAAACTTGTCTGGCCATCTTGTACCTGAACTAGGAAAGCTTGAACATCTACAGTATCTGTGAGTTACTCATTTTTTTTTTACCTTGTACCATGTAGTGGATCCTTAATTAGCTACAATGAACTATAATAATTGCTGTAGGGAGCTTTACAAGAATACCATTCAGGGTACAATTCCTGCAGAAATCGGTAACTTGAAGAGCCTCATAAGCTTGGATTTGTACAACAACAATATCTCTGGCAAAATTCCACCTTCACTAGGGAAATTGAAATCTCTAGTGTTCTTGTGAGTTTGACTAAAGTATTTAGTATTTACTCTCTAGTTTGACCAAGATGGTATATAAATTTATAAACTTGTCATTCTTAAATGGCACAGGCGTCTTAATGATAATCATCTAACTGGAAGAATCCCTAGGGAACTTGTTGGTGCTTCAAGCTTGAAAGTTGTGTATGTACTTATTCCTCATCAAAGTTCTTGTTACAAAATGTTAATATAGTAAATATACAAGTGTTTGAATTTATTTTTCAGGGACGTATCGAATAATAACCTATGTGGGACAATTCCTACCACTGGTCCATTTGAACACATCCCTTTGAACAAGTAAGCAAACAAGTGTTTGCATGTATTGTTATTGAATTAGTTGTGGGATAAATTGATAAAATGGTGGTTTAATTTTGCAGCTTTGAGAACAATCCTCGTTTGGAAGGGCCAGAGTTGATGGGACTTGCAAGTTATGATACAAACTGCTCTTAAAGAGTGTTGTTACTTGATGTTATGTTTGCTGGATTTATATGAACCCATGGTGAGATGCAAGAACTCTTGTGATAACATATGGTTGGCTAGTTTGTTATATTTTGTGTAAAATTATGTTATGTTATGTTTGTGGTCTTGAAAAATATAAAATATTTGGTTATAACCAATGGAAGTTGTAACTTAAACATGTGTGTGTGACTGAGTTTCAGCTATAAACTTGTTTCCCCATATTTTGTGCGCTGTGTCCCTAATGAGCATGTGTATTTGGGTCTTTGATATATATAAAAATTATAATGGAATATGCAGTTTTCATAGAAAAATGTACAATATTGGATGTCAAATATCCATGTTTATTGACCACTTTGGTTTGAAGAGGACAAAGAAGCGGTGAGTCAATAAGAATATTAATCATGTATTTTTTTGTCAAGGGAATGATGATATGCTATCAGACAATTTGTCGGTTGATCTTGAAGTCAAACATGAATTTAATTGTATGGACAAGAAAAGCCATGACCCATGATACGACTCTTTGATTGGCATCAACTATGTTACAACTACGCTACAAAGAAAAAAAAAATGATAGTGGAAGGCTCTTCGAGAAGTGTTGTCATGGTGGATGCACTTTCAAGTTATGGAAATCATAGATGGGTGAACATTTTTTCCAAATTGAATCTTTGAAACTTTAACACAACTGTGCTAGGAATTTCAAGTTGGGTTCAAGTGTAACATATTCTTAAATTGATACTCATTACACCAAGGAAATTTTGCGTGGAAATCGAGTATTAGACGATTAAGATTGGAGGTTATAATAAAGTTTGCAAGAGGTTATTTTTGGACAATGTAGGAAAACCAAGAAAACATGCATTGACTCTATTTGAGGGCACTCTTTTAGAACATGAGATTTTCTAACATGTATCCTAAGGACATACATAAGATATTTATGAAAATATTACTATAATTAAATATGAAATAATTAATTATGGGGAATATTTCTCATTGAAAAATGTGAAATACATTAGTTATGGAGGATATTATGTATAATTAATGCATTTCATATTTAATTATTATAATATTTTCCATAATAGTACTTTTTATATGTGTCATTGGGCATATATTAAAAAACTAGTTGTGAGACACGTATGTTATACGAGTTGGATAAAACAAAAAGTTAAATAGGAAGATTTAAACAAAAATTTATTTAAAATTTAAATTTTAGATTTAAAATTTAAAATTTAAATTTTAGATTTAAAATTTAAAATTTAAAAGGAAACATATTAAATACAACATATGAGTAGTAATATTGTAATTTATTAATTATTTTCAATTTAGGCAATTATTAATTGAGGTGTAAATGTGATGTGTTAATTAAGAAAAGATAAAAAATGAGA